AAGTCAAAATTTTGGTCAAATGCAAATCTAACCTGTTTTATGTAGATTTCTTAGTAAGTCTACCAATTTTTTTTGTTTTTGGTTTCAAAGGTAAAGATGTTGACGTACTTGTAGGTCTACATTACAAAAAAAATTATTTTGGTCAATTGCAAAAGTAACCTGTGCGTTGACAAGTAGACTGCATCGTAAGTCTACACGTGTGTGTAGACATATAATACAGTCTACGTTCGCGATACAAATCAGAGATATGACGAAAAGCTTGTAAAGAGTTACCTTGACACCGGTTTAAAGCTTGTTTCCAAGCTTTTCCACCGTCCAGAATCCAAATATGAGCAAAAGAAGCAACCTTTACGATCCACTTGTGGATAAAATCGAAAATATGAAGTTTGTGTTTATGAAAATGAGAGTTATGAGGATTGTTTAGATGAAAATAGAGAGGAAATGAGAGGAAATGAAGTATTGTTTGCTTAGAAAGTGAAATAAGTGGTTGAAATTTCATAAACAAAAGCTTAAAGAGCTCATCAATGGTGGTTTTGGGTGGTTGCAAATATTGATGACAATGGCATTATGGTAAATAAGGAGAAATGTTTAGGGTGTAATAGGTTTTTCATAATTTTCGAAAATAAAATCAGATTTAAAAATAATGGCAATTTGGTAAATAAGTGGAAACATGAGGAGAGTTTAGGTTTTTTAAGAGTGAATAGTAATGGACAAAAAAAAAGAGGTTGGTTTTGTGTTTGACTTGAAATTTTAGGTTGGTTTTGCAAAAACCCCTTGTTAATATCTTTTAAAAATATAAAATTAAAAAAGAACTAAGATATTAAATCATTGATAACAAAAAATTTTCAATGTGAAAAATTTAATAAGTTTATAATTTATAAATGTTCTTGAAAATTTATTGAAAATTTTAAATTAAAATATTTATGTAATCTTATATGGTATATAGTTTAATCTGTATATATATATATATATATATATATATTTGTTTTATAATTGAATGATACTTTTTACTTATATGGTTTTAAAATCATGTATATCTTTTTATAATAAAATGTTAAACTATTGATCATTAATAATTTTAATGGTTTAGTTATTTATTCTCGTTTCTTAAAATTCAAAATATAACCTATACGAAAAAATCTAAAGTTTAATTTTATAGCTAATTTGATTGTTTAATTTATTTTAATAATATAAAATTAAAGAAAAATGATGGAGGATATATAAACTGTTATCAAATATTTATTATTAGAATCATTAAGTGTCATATATATATATTAGTCATTTATNTTTTAAAAGGTTGGTTTTGCAATTGACCAGAATTCGATCAGAGTTTGACTTTTAGAAGTAGACCTATTATGCAGTCTACACTTTTAAATTTATTTGAAAGAGGTTAGTTTTGCAATTGACCAAAGTTGACTTTCTACGAGTAGACAGAACTAAATGTCTACGTAACTGTAGACTGCAGTAAAAGTCTACACTATAACCCCGACAGGTTAGTTTTGCAATTGACCAAAACAAAATAGTAGACTTCTTATGCAGTCTACGTTTTTTTTCTAAGTTTTGTAGACTGCATATGAAGTCTACACGTAAAGTAAGTTATTTTCTTAGTTTTGTAGACAGCATATGAAGTCTACACGTAAAGTAAGTTTTAGTCAAATACAAAAGAAACCTATTCAACGAAGTCAAAGTTTTGGTCAAATGCAAAACTGACCTTCCGTAGACTTACCTAGCAGTCTACAAAGTGTAGACCTCCACGAAAGTCTACTATGGTAAGTCAAAATTTTGGTCAAATGCAAATCTAACCTGTTTTATGTAGAT